CGTATATATGGACGATTTTTTAATTGCGACGGATACTGTGGAAAAACACTTCGAAGTGCTCGAACAAGTGTTCCATCTTTTGACGCAGAACTTACTTGAATTACGTTTAGATAAATGTCATTTTTTATACAAGGAAATAGAATTTTTGGGTTATGTCGTTTCGGAGAAGGGCGTGCGACCGAGTAATTGCGGAATTAGCGCGGTGATGAATTTCCCTATACCCAAAAATATACGGGATGTTCAGAGTTTCCTTGGTTTAAGTTCTTATTTTAGAAAGTTCATTGAGAACTTTGCACGTATTGCTGGTCCGTTATATACATTACTTAAAAAAGGAGCAATATTTGAATTCGGTCCGAAACAAATGGAAGCATTTGAAACATTAAAAAGAAAATTAGTAGAGGCTCCTATTTTGTCGATTTTTAGCCCTGACGATCCAACGGAACTACACTGTGACGCAAGCTCACAGGGTTTTGGTGCGGTACTTATGCAACGTAAAGCGGACAACCATTTTCACCCGATTTTTTATTTCTCAAAAAGAACTACGGAAGTAGAAGCTCGTTATCACAGTTATGAACTGGAAACTTTAGCGATTATATATGCCCTTAAACGATTTCGTATTTATTTGTTAGGCATACCGTTTAAAATAATTACAGACTGCAACGCGTTAATTATGACTTTAAACAAAAAGAATATTAATCCACGAATCGCGAGGTGGGCTTTGGAATTACAAAATTTTGATTATAGTACCGAGCATCGTCCTGGTAAAAGAATGTTACATGTCGACGCTCTTAGTCGAATGAACAGTATTTTGGTTGTCGAGGACAATACATTTGAATTCAATCTATCCGTATGTCAATCGCAGGACGCTAAAATAAAAGAGTTAACAATGCGTTTAGAAAAAGAACAAGATAGTTTTTATGAAATGAGAAACGGATTAGTGTATCGTAAAAAGAAAGATAAACTTTTATTTTATGTACCTCGCGCGATGGAACAAGAAATACTACATAAATATCATAATGAATTCGGACATTTTGGTGTCGATAAAACTTATGCAGTGATACAGGAGAGTTATTGGTTTCCTGACATGAAAAATAAAATTCGTTTACACATACAAAACTGTATCAAATGTATTGCGTTTTCGAAGCCAACGGGAAAGATCGAAGGGTTTATCCACGGTATTCCAAAAGGGAAAGAGCCATTTCTTGTAATACATGTAGACCATTTTGGTCCAGTCGATCGAGCGAATACTACGAAAAAATATGTACTTGTTATTGTAGATGCGTTTACCAAGTACGTTAAATTTTATGCGGTCAAAACTACAACAACTTGTGACACGGTTAGATGTCTTAAAGACTATTTTCTAACGTTTAGTCGGCCGAAAATCATAATCTCAGATAGAGGTACGAGTTTTACTTCGGGAGAATTTGAAGAGTTTATGTCGGAAATGAATATTCAACACATAAAAGTTGCTACAGCGTCTCCCCAAGCGAACGGGCAAGTAGAGCGCTACAATCGAGTGTTGGCACCCGCGTTAGGCAAGCTGTATACTGGAAAAGATTGGCATAAATCATTAAATGAGATCGAATTTGCAATTAATAATACAGTGAATAGGGCAACGGGAAAAACTCCCAGCGAGTTGTTGTACGGAGTTAAACAGAGGGGATTTGTAATAGATGCTCTAAAAGAATACATTTTAGATCTAGAAAACGCAAAAGATAGAGATATAGATGAACTTAGAGAAAAAGCATCACAAAGGATCGAGAAGGCACGGAAAGAAAACGAAAATTACGTAAACAACAAACGAAAATCGGCACGCGAATATATGGAGGGCGATTTGGTCGTAATTAAAAATTTTGAGAATACAGGTGGGAAATTATTACCAGCTTAT